GGGAAAAAAGTAAATTCATTATTTTATGCCTATCTAAATTTATTATTTTATTATTCTATCTAGATAATGCAAATAAATAATAATATAAAACATCTAAATTTTTTTAAATCTCTCTTATAAACATCAAAATTTATTAAATAAATATTTATTTTATTTTATTTACTAATTTATGATATAAAATATTAAAAAATATTATAAGGCACATGCATGAAATTGAGATTTTGTTTTAATTTTCTATTATATTATTTAATGATATAATAAATATTTTAAAATGCTAAATTATATATTCATATGCAGAGATGTAAAAAATAGAGCGAAAAAAATTAGCATGTATTAAATGTTAAAAGAAGAAAATAACATTTACTATTATATTCAATTTATCATCTTACCTTCATCTTATTTATTCATTATATATTCTTTATTTCTCATGTACTCATTAAAAAATAATTTATTGAGGAATAAAATCCATGTAAATAAATCATTCATATAATGAACCATTAATTTCTTCCAATATTTTGTCCAAATAATCGAAGAATATTAAAGTTCAAATTATTTAATCAAGTTATACATTATTATATATATTAGTCTATTGTGTCTTTGTTTCTATGTTTTATGTATGTAATTGATACATATATATATATTCAAATTTGAAGTAAATAAAAATTATTCAAGTATCTGAATATAAATTTGATGAAATATCCGAATATATGAAGTGATTGAGAATTTCGATCAAGAATTTCAGATATTTTTGGATATTTATATTATTGATAATAAAAAAAATTAACACTTATGATAATATAATATACAATAATAAAATATCATGCATGATAATAAAAAAATAGATATAAATAGAAAAATTTATTTATATTGAAAGAAAATAGTGTTCTTGTGCATACATATGTTATTTTTTTTTAATGATTAAAAATAATTAAAAACTTTTTAGAATACATTGAAATTTTTAATATAAACGTTTTAATATAATGCTATTACATTTTTTTTTGTCAAAATTATCTGAGAAACTTAAATTTAAATTCTGAATTTATAATTTTTAAAATCATATAAAAAATTAAAAAAATAAAGCGATATGAATTCACAATGCTACAAAGAAAAATTTTTTTTTTATTCTATAATTTTTGCGAAGTATATTGGTTTGCGATATGATGATATTGAGAGCATCTGAAAAATTTTTAATTATTATTATTTTTATCACTTTAAATATGAATAGAGAATATTACAAATTCATAGAAACAGTTGTTATTTCGTTGGAAGAAAAAATAAAACAATTTAGATTTAAAATAAATAATGCTTCTACTTATTACAAGTATTTAAACATAATTTAAAAATCTCGATTTTAAAATGATTGACATGATATAAATATAATAAAAAATAAAAAAAATTAGATTATATGTTCAATTTTTAAAATAACTGTTATGCTAATTGTTTTA